CCTGGGGGCAGGGAAAGGGGAGGGAGTTGTCTGTGTCAAGGCCTGGTCCTTTCTTGCCCAAAGACTTTGCTCAGGCCCCTCTAGGCTTGGGCCCATAGGCCTTTTACTGAACTTCCCTCAGTCTAACCCTAGGTGATCCAGACCTGGGTAAAGACTGCATTCTTGCAGGCAGGGTCCCGAGACGGGCAGGCACGATGTTCCATGGCAAGGCGACGGTTAATGTACAGGCGTGGCATGAAGCTGGGCTTGCTGCTCTCTGAGTCACGCAAGCACTGGGCCACCAGGCTGGGTCGCTGGCGTGACAGCAGTAGGAACTGCTTCACTTGCTGAAGAGGAGAGGTGGCCAGAACAGGATCAATGGACAGTTAGCTTCTCTCCAGGCTCTGGAAACTTCCTCTATCCCTGGTCTCAATTTCACCATTCCATTCCATTCCAAGCCCAGTCCATTCCCTGTCCTTGCCTCCAGGGGGAGCTTTCTAAAACAAAARATCTGACATTGTCTTTACCTTAATTAAAACTTTTCCAATGACTTCATAAACTGGGACAAAGTCCCTGCTTCATAGCCTGGCCCTCAGAGCCCTCACCTGCTAGGTCCTGCTTCCTGCCCAGCCCCTACCAGCCTTATCCCCACGTCATCCTCACACCTACCTGCATACTTTTCTTGAGTCATATGGAGCTGCTGATAGCTAGTGCACAAATTTCACACAAGTTGCCCTGCCCCTGCTGTCACCTCTTCTCCCCAGCCCATGTGCATTCTGTATGCTCATCTGGGAAATCCCCCCAAACACTAAATTTTGATCTTTTGTGTCTGCCTTTCTTCTTGGTTCCCTACAGTAGGTCTTAGGAACTCTGTTGAAGAATGAAATCTATAAGAGCAGGAAAGGAGAGCCCACTGACCAAACTCACCTTAATCTCACTGAAGGTGCCCAGTGTGTGGTCCCATGCAGGCACCAGGTGGTGCAGGACACTATCTAGGATCTTGATGAATCTGGGATGGTGGATAAAGATAATGACAGCTAAAGAGAGTTTGGCATAGATGTAAGACTCCCCAACTCTCCACACATTGGGACTGAAGGTAGGGTCAGGAGCTGCTCTGACTTTTAGCGCAGAACAGCTTACACTGAGGCCTGATCCACACAGACACACAAAGCTGAAGGAAGGGGGAAGGGAATGGCCTGCAGGCCCAGGACCAGTCACCTCTGCAGGAGGACAGCTCTACGGTACAGTACTTCTGGATCAGTGCCTTCTAGGCGTGGATAYCGCACCAGACTGGCTGGCTGGAAGAGGTCTGCATTCAACCCTAGTTCCCGCTGTCTTGATGACTTGATCTTGACCCCTCGAAGACGAACATCGATGCCATCATCTGGGCAAGGGATCAGAGTGAGGTCATTTACTGAACTTGCTGCCTTCTTGGCCCTGAGATCAGGGAATGGCTCCTTAATGCTCAGCCTTTTGTCATCCTATGACTTGGAACCTTAGGGATCCTATTCTATCACCTGGTTCTTCGCTAGCACCTCTATAATGCTGGCATGCTTGAATGTCTCAAATTCTCTTCTAGGTGAGTCCAACCACTCCTATGGTTTTAAGGCCATAGGTTTATATGACACCTCTCACTTGGCTCTGGCCCCACACCTTCAAATCCTGGAGTTAGTCCAGCCATCATCTCATCCCTCTTCATCTTCCAGGCCCATCCCTTTCTCTCCACACTGTCAGCTTGCCCACATCTACACCCAGGGGCTTCTTTTCCTTTTTTTTTTTACACATTAAAAAAAATTGGTGCATTATAATTATAYGTAATAGTGGGATTTGTAACATATTTGTACATATACATGATATAATGATATAATTTGGTCAATATTGTTCCCCAGTTCCTTTCTCTTATAGTCTTTAGACCCACCTCGGCACTCCACAATGCGGATCTCGATGATTGGCAAGTGGACTGTCATGTCCTCCAAGACGCAGACATCCCCAATTAGGGTCCTGAGGAGATGGGTGTGAGGCACTTCAGACAGTCCATGCCTCAGGCCTTTAGGGATTGCTGGGATCCCACCCAAGTTTAAGCATCCAAGCTGGACCAGGTCCCATTGCTAAGATCACATCCCACCTCCTACCCCAGGCTGGCCTGCTCACTCGTCAATGCTCACGTCACTCAACTTCTTCAGGTTGTCCCCTTCGCCCCCATAGACTACCACTCGCTTAGGCATAAAGTTGTCATCTGTGGTATCCACTGTGAGTAGCAGCTTCCTACGGGGTCAGAGTGTGCACTGAGTCTCTATGCACCCACAGGTACATGAGTCACCCAACCCAGGTCTGCTCAGAGCCTACTCACTTGACAATGGTGCCCTTCTTCATAGTAAGCCGTACCCAGTGCTGGCACTGGGACCCATCACTCTCCCAGTAAGTATCTGCATTGCTGTCCGTCAGGCAGGACACATTGAATTCCTCCTAAGGAGAGACAGAGTGGTGGGGTCAGCTGTTACCCTCACTTCTGCTTTGGGACAGGGAGCAGAAGACAGAAAGCATAGTGAAGATGGGATAAAAGGGCAACTGATATGGGGTAAAGGTGTGATTAGGGTAAGGTAGGAGGGAGTCTAGGGGTTCCTATAGGACTTCCAAGATGGGGAGCTGGACTGAGTGTGGCCCTGGTTTGGAGGTRGGAAATCTGGATCTAACCTTGAGGGATGCGACTGTATTTTGCCTCAAGAGGGAGGAGTCCCAGCACCCACCGTGTAGGAGGACACGTCTATGCTCTCCACATACTGCTTCACGCTACCCAGGTTCTCATCCTCCTTGCCCAGGTGGTCATACAAGAAGTGGATCAGGTCCTCGTCGCACTCGTAGGTCCATGTTGGGGGCACATAGCTAAGCAACCCCAAGCCCCTAATTAGGCTGGGCCCAGACTTGGAGCTCCCTCCTCCCCATCTGGTACATCTCACTCACAGTAGCCTTTGTACAGCTTCTGTGTATGCCTCCGCTGGTTGAGGCCTTGATCCGAGGCGATGTGAGTATGTCAGGTCCACCACCTGTTCCCATCTGTGGGTACACAGTTGAGGGTGGGTGGGTGAGAAGGCATGAGTGGACAGCAGGATATCTCCAGAAGGATCTGGAACCTTCTCCAGAGCTCTAGCTCCTTGCCTCCATAAGCTCTATGCCAACTCCCTCAGGTCCTGTTCCTTTCTGCTCTTAATGCTACCTCCATTTCAAAATCCTCCCCCGCCAATCCCCACCCTGGATGTGTTGGTGGTGCCAGTCCCTCATTGCCCGATATCCGATAGCAAGCCCTGCCCCTTCAAGTGCAGGACCTGAGCACTGGTCGGTAGTCCACGCCAAAGAGCTGCTGCTGCCGCTGGAGGTGGTCAGGAGTGTCGATGGGTACAAGGCGGGCCCCGCCCTCCGCTGGGCGGCATACCAGCAGCCAGCCTTCGTCCAGTCCGCAGTCACCCAGGTGTTCCGCCAGCTGCTCCTGCAGGGACCGCCAGATGGGGACAGCCATCAGGGAACTGCTCAGCTGCTCGCCCTGCCCAGCCCAGGGTAAAGGGCGCCGAATACAGTGTCAGCTCAATATAGGGCAGGAAAGGGGAACGGAGTCGTTTCCGGACGCGGAGATCTTTTGAGGAGCCTCGGGTAGGCCAGAGCTTACCTTGGTCAGTTTTACCCAGAGACCATGGCCGTTGCATAGCTCCTCGCCCGTGGTGCGCACGCAGGCGCCGCGCCGAAGTTCGATGCTGTCACGGGCTGCGCGAAGGGGCCCAGAGGCGGTTCCAGGGGCTGGGCCCGAGGCACCCACACGCAGCCCTAGGCCCTCTGCCTCCCACACCGGCAGCATCACGCGCGACGGTCCTGCCGGGTCCTTGTAAAGCTTGTACAGCACCTCTCGCGGCACGAAAGCCAGCGCTGCCGGCAGCGGTCGCCCGGCGCGGAGGCTCCGTGCTGCCTCCGCCAAGAAGCGCACGCGACCGAGCAGCTGCCTTGGGGACTCTAGCGCCGCGCCCGGGCCAGGGCCTGCCATGGTGAACTAGCTGAGGGACACTAGGAGTAATTCTGCCCTGGGAGTACCAGCCGCGACCACAGCAGAGCTTCCCACCACGCCCTGTTCCGCCTTCGGCCAACCTTCGCCGTATGTTCTAGACTAAGCGCATCCTACACTTTTGCTGTATAATCCTGAGTACTCCGATGGTCAATGCAATTACACGTACATCTGTGTCCTCCCAGGAACCCAGCCAGCCAGACCCAAGATTAGTGGTTTCTACCTGACCAATTTCCCTCTCTCCATTCCTATCGCTACTATCATTTTATCTCCAATGCTCCTACCCTCTTTCAAGTCACTGCCCTATCTATCCTGTATCATTACAATAGCCTTTCTCCCCACGCAGCTTCCTTTTTTTTCCCGTTTTTTTTTTTTTTTTGTACTGAGGATTGAACCCAGGGGTGCTCAACCACTGAGCCACATCCCCAGACCTTTTACATATTTTATTTAGAGACAGGATCTAAGTTGATAAGTGCCTCACTAAATTGCTGAGGCTGGTTTTGAGCTCTCAATCTTCCTGCCTCAGCCTCCTGAGCCGCTGGAATTACAGGCATGCGCCTGGTGTAATTAACATATTGGGAGAATCGTGCCTTCCCTGACCACTGACAGGAGGCTTAAATCATTCCGGATCGATTGCAACTCCTAATCCCAGGATATTTACAATCATTTTCTATTTAATATGACTGCCAATTTCCGTTTCCCCATCAGACTGGAAGAGCAGTTTGTTCTTAAAAGCAGGGGCTGTGTTGCTCAGCGCGCTAACCTTAGAGGTCACCACAGGAGAACAAATTCCTCACCCTACCTGAAAAAGTAATTTCAATGGAGTTCTTTTGGGCTTTTATTGTTGCGTCGCTACAATGGGCTTTACGGTGAAAGTGATTGGGGTCCTCCAGGCAGCAGCCAGGGCAGCCCTAGAGCTGTCAGTGGAGTCCGATCACGTGGTTTTCAACATGGCGAACCCCTTGGTTTACTTCAGGAAGGGGCGGAGCTTAGACTGGGGGCCGGCTCAAATTCATGTGTGTGTTGATTCTGCGCGCAGTTACTGAGAGTTTACCATGGAAGCGAACGGTTTGGGGTGAGTTCTCCGCAAAGCGGGGTGGCTAGCGAGACTTGGTTTCTGAGTTTTCCAAGTCAGTTATCTGTCCCTATACCCTCATATTCCTGGAGTTCTCCCATTGTGGACTCCAGTCGCTGGGATCCCGAATGCTCCCAACTACGGGATTTCTGAGACCTTCATTTCAGGGACCGTTTTATGGACTGCGTCCTCCAGACATTCTCTTTGGGAATGCCCCAGAACTTCTAACTAGGATATCTATTCTGGGACCATCTATTCTGCTCCTTTTTTGACTATTTTCCAGCCTGGAGATTMATTAGTCTAGTGACCATTTCCCTCAAAACTATTCTTACTGGGCTTTTAGAGCTTGGGAGAGCTGGGGGTACGTGTAGGAAAGCGGCCCCAGCGCGGGCCCTTGAGTCTGTACCACCTGATAGGCAGAGAGGAGGCCTAATGCGCGGGGAGCCACAGTTTGCTAGCTGGTCTGGAGGAGGTAGATAGCAGTGCCCGATTGAATCGACTTTAAGAACCCTTGCTTTCACCATCCACCGGCTTAGCGTATTGATTCCTTCCCCCAACCCCATCTGATCACTAGATCTCAGAATTTTCCGGAGCTGAAGAATGACACGTTCCTTCGAGCAGCCTGGGGAGAGGAAACAGACTACACTCCTGTTTGGTGCATGCGGCAGGCAGGCCGCTACTTACCAGGTCAGGGTCAGGGCCCAGAATTCTAGATAACTGGGGAGGCAGGGGAGGATTCTGGAGGCCTGAAAGTTTAGGTCTGTCTTCCTTCTCTCGGCAGAATTTAGGGAAACCAGGGCTACCCAGGACTTTTTCAGCACCTGTCGCTCTCCTGAGGCCTGTTGTGAACTGACTCTGCAGGTGAGGGGTCCACAGAGGGAGGTATTTATGCCCTCAGCTTGCCACCTAGCAACTCGTTTCCATTCCCTACAGCCACTGCGTCGGTTCCCTCTGGATGCTGCCATCATCTTCTCCGACATCCTTGTTGTACCCCAGGTACCCACTTAAACCCGATTCTGAAATGTGTTAAAAAAAAAAAAAAAAAGAAAGAAAGGAAGGAAGAAAAGGATTCCTTGGAAATCTTATTAGTCCTGCCAAGATTCAAGATAAGTACATATCATAGCTGGATAGAGGGAAAAATTAAGACTGAAAGAGATCAGTTTAGCTGAGTTTTATTCTCCATTTCCTTTCCTATTGGTATGGGCTGAACAGAACAGACTTTTTGAGACAAGGTCTCAATAAGCTGCTGAGAGCCTCACTAAATTGCTGAGGCTGGCCTTGAACTTGTGATCCTCCTATCTCAGCCTCCCAAGTCTTTGGAATTACAGGTATACTTTGCTGCACCTGGCTGGGATCCAGTTGTTTTATCCCCCTCCAGGCATTGGGCATGGAGGTGACCATGGTACCTGGCAAAGGACCCAGCTTCCCAGAGCCATTAAGAGAAGAGCGGGACCTAGAACGTCTACGTGATCCAGAAGTAGTGACCTCTGAGCTGGGCTATGTGTTCCAAGCTATCACACTTACCCGACAACAGCTGGCTGGGCGTGTGCCACTGATTGGCTTTGCTGGTGCCCCGGTAACATGGGAAAAGCAGGGGATTGGGGCATGACTCTGGCATATCTGGTGTAGATAGGGAAGGAAGTGTCAGTGTGGCTTCTGTACTGTGACATCTTTGATCCTTCTGCAGTGGACCCTGATGACATACATGGTTGAAGGTGGCAGCTCAAGTACTATGGCTCAGTCTAAGCGCTGGCTCTACCAAAGACCTCAGGCCAGTCACCAGCTGCTTCGTATCCTCACTGATGCTCTGGTCCCATATCTAGTAGGACAAGTAGCTGCTGGTGCCCAGGTGAGTCCTGAGGGGGAGACAGATAAGCTGGGGTTTGGACTATAAGAATAAAAAACAATAGTCTCCTGAACTGGAGAGGGCAGGGATCTTATATTGGCCTTGATCTGGCTAGAGCAGACAAGCCCACCCTGACCCTGGGGTGAGGGTGGGGGCTTAATACTCTTGAGTGAAGATCAAAGCTAGCATTGGGATCTGGAGAAGGCAAACTTTTTGACTGGAACTGGGTTTATAGGCTCAGGCAGTATCAGGGTTTAGTCACCTGGGAAAATGATGCACATTCTGTATATGGAACCTGAGGTATTTCCTTTTTTTTTTTCCTTCTTATTTTTCTTCACCACCCTGTAACTATAGGCATTACAGCTCTTTGAGTCCCATGCAGGGCATCTTGGCCCACAGCTCTTCAACAAATTTGCATTGCCCTATATCCGTGATGTGGCCAAGCGAGTAAAAGCCAGGCTGCAGGAGGCAGGCCTGGCACCTGTGCCCATGGTGAGGATTGGGATTGGTTGGTGGGTCTGTAGAGTGTTCAGGGTAAGTCATGCATGGACTGAAGTGACCACAGGAGGGCAGCAGAAGTGCATCCAAGAAAGGTTAGTGGGCACAGCAAGGCCCTATGTGTAGTCTCAGATCCTCTTTTTCCTCCAGATCATCTTTGCTAAGGATGGGCATTTTGCCCTGGAGGAGCTGGCCCAGGCTGGCTATGAGGTGGTTGGGCTTGACTGGACAGTGGCCCCAAAGAAAGCCCGGTGAGTGATAGAGGTTGGACCTTTGAGATTAAGGCAGGGGTTGCCCGTGGGAAGCTGCCAAGTATGCAGTCACCAGAATGTGTTCCTGGTTCTGCCTCTAGGGAACGTGTGGGGAAGTCGGTGACCCTGCAGGGCAATCTGGACCCCTGTGCCCTGTATGCATCTGAGGTAATAATCAGGGCCTCTATGGGTGCACAAGTTTGTCTCTCTGATATGGCTATGTGATTATGTGTCTGATGTATTTGTCTCTCTTCTCTACTCCATACATACAACGTAAGCCCGAGAAAGGCAAGAATTTTTGCTGTTGTTCATTTGTTTTTTCTTAGTGTCTGGCCCATATACAATATCTGATAAATTTTATTGATTAAATGATAAAATAACACCAAGTAAAAGCATGCCTACCGGTGTATGTTACTATTAGGCATAGGGAGGACAGAGGCTTATAGATCTCCCTATTTTCGGTCCCCCAGGAGGAGATTGGGCAATTGGTGCAGCAGATGCTTGATGACTTTGGGCCAAAACGCTACATTGCCAACCTAGGCCATGGGCTTTACCCTGACATGGACCCAGAACACGTAGGGGCCTTTGTGGATGCTGTGCACAGACATTCACGTCTACTTCGACAGAATTAAGCTTATATACCTCTTCMCTTAAGTATATGGATGATTGTTTTCTGGAGAATAAAGTTCCATAATTGAAGTCTAGTATGTGTTTTTTTATTTTTATTTTTTAGTTTTCAGTGGACCTTTATTTATATGTGGTGTTGAGAATCAAACCCAGTGCCTCACATATAACTAGCTCTATCACTGAGCTACAACCCCACCCCTAGTATGTGGTTTTGTTTATGAGAGATTGTGCTCTAATCTTCAGTTCTTTCCTTCCCTGGAGCCTCCCCTGTATCCCCTCCCACAAGTCTCAAGGCTCAGTTATCAGTGAACATGGACTATTGCACTTAAAGTTAGGGTTCTCACTACCATTATGCCTTCATATATCCAAGCCCCACAACTTCAAGGAGTTGGGTAAAGCTTCCTAGAAGTTGGGACTATGACACTGCATAGAAAGGGATGGGTTCCCCACAGCATACAAAGCCCAAATTAATAGGCTTTGTGTCTGGGGAAGAAGGGGAATACTGATCAAAGAGGCACAGAAGTGCCTAAAACACTTCAGGGAGTCCTAGAAAGAAAGAAAGATGCAATCTAGGTAAGGAGGGAGAAGCTAAGGAACCCTCAGCTTTGACACTAAATGATGGGGAAGACAAAGACTCAAAGCTAAACTGTTTGGGATTTAAGCCTTATAATAGGCCAACACCAAGGCAAGAAGGCCTCTGAAGCTAAAGGGCCCTCTGGCACTCAAGTGTTGCTTTGTATTATTTTCTGATCATACCCTTTAATTTTTTCAGGATCTTGGGATCCTGCCCATCATGGTGACACCTTTGAGGACAAGCTTCTGAGGTGCTTGTGAACTCTGCAGAGGAGTCTAGTGTGGCAGGAAATTCATCTGTCATTTTCTACATCCCTGTTAGGTCCAAACAGTTCCTTGTCCCAGCTAGAGCAATGCAGAAGCAGAGAAGGGCCTCATTTATTGAGAGAACACAAGTTCTACTTTTAGAAAAATGATCTTTTCTGTGATTCATGATTTATTCATAGAAAAGCACTGTGAATTCACAYACTTGCTAAAAAAGGGCAATCGTGATACAGAAATGGAAGTGGCTTCTCTTGTTTACCAACCCATTGGGCTGAGATGTTGTAGGGGCCCTTGGCTGGAGGGCAAGACTTTAGTAGCCACAAACAGCAAATACAACTTTCTGGTCAGTTTGGARTAAAAAAGATGACAAACAGTTTTCCAAGAGGAAAATAAAGCAGACAGGTTCTTGGTTCACACTCTAGCTATATCACCCATTCCCTATCAAACCCCATCCCAACTCAGGAACTAAGACACAAAACAGTAAACACCCAAGACACTGGTATCCAATTGACTCTTCTGAATGCTCTTGCTACCTCCTATAATAACTCCAGGTTGAACTCCAGGGTCAGGAAGGTAGCAGGAACATGATACACTGTGGCAGTCAGTTAGGGCTAAGATAAGGGTTGCCCACTAGGTGGGAAAGGGAAAGGCCAAGGGATACCAGCCTTAATCTCCAAATCAGTGACCACTGGGACTATGACAAAAGCAGGCAGAGGAAGCTTGAGGTAGAAAGGCAGGGGGAGAAAGCATGTATRGATGAGAATTGTAGAGCTGAAGCAGCCAATCTTAGAACAGAGGGGACACTGGTGCTTAGAAGCTTGTTTGTCAAGAAAGAATGGTGAAGGGAGGAGTATAGAGATGGGAACAAATGTTCAGTTGTTGAGAGAGATTGAGAGGATGGGGGAAGAGAGATCTGGCAGAAAAAGAAGGGACACATTCATGCAGATCTTCCAACATGAATACAGACATACCCATGTAGAAATATCTCAGTTACACTTATAAAGACACACAGATCCACGAACAGCAGGCATACACACACAGATACAGTCATTTATAACTTGTACTCATTTGCCCAGATACACACATATACTAATCATGCAAACATGAGTACACTTAGTTATGTATTTTCACACATGCACAAATGAAACAGTGAACACACAAACCCACAGTCCAACGCACACATGTATCACATACATAAATTAGAGATGAAACCAGATACTCTCTAACATAAAGGTGACCAGAGTAGATGAATCTTATGAGCTCAAATGGCTTCCCGAACCTTCACTTTCTCCCTGCACTTGTTACTGAGGTGTCTAGCAGGCTCCTGGAGAGGTTGTGTGAGGCAGGAGCAAGAGTTCAGTGTCCTCATAGCAAGAGTCTTAAGTCCAGTTTTGGCCTCTCCCTCACCCACCACTGGACTACAGATGCCCTGTTTACAGGCTGGGGTTTCTGCATAGACAAGCTTGGGATTCATTTTAATTGGCCATTTTTCTCCCTGCCACCCCTACTTGTCCATTGCTAACAGCATACACTCTGCAAGGGAAACCTGAGAAATGGTTGTGAGTCTCCTCAGAAAACAAGCCTATCCTCCCACCCACAGCTACTTTAAGTGCCCATCAAATCAGAACCAGAATTATAAATAGTTACAACTTTACAATTATTGGCAACACATATACTATAGTATTTACAGTACCATAAATGCTTCTGTTTCTCTGGTTAAGCAATCCCTGAGACGGAACAGTGTCTGTGTTTGCCAAGGGAGATAGGGCCAATACCCAGGACACGCAGGATATAGGGGCGTGAGGTGGCATGTTGTGGGATTTCTGATCAATCTGCAGGGCCCAGCTCCTCCAGGAACAGTGGGCTGTAGTGAGAAGTTTGCCAAGGCATAAAAATTGGCCAGAGTTGGACTCTTTCTAATCTTAGCCCTGTGGTCCTTTGGCCTCAGCCATAGGTGCTCAGAGTCCTCCCAGGGTAGACAAATGCTTCAGTGTCCTTGGCCTGACTTGATGGTACCTGGATGCCCAAGCTGCCCTGGAAGTAAGCTATCTGCTTTCTCAGCCAAAGCGCTCTCGAACCAGCAGCATCAGCTTCTTCTTGCCTTTGTAAATCTGTTTGAGGTTGTCAATGAACTGAGCAAATTGCAAGTGGCCATCCTGCGGCAGCAGGAAAGTCTCCCGAGCCTTGCTCAGAAACTCAATGAACTCTCCATAGTGGCGAGGGCTGATGTGTGTCAGGCGTGAGTGTGTAGTGTTGATATAGGCATTGATGGTGGCATCCAGCAGCTGGCGCAATGGAGCTTTGTCAGTCGACATGAGCTTTCCAGAGCTGCGGCGGCCTGGGATGCCAGCCAGGCCAGGTGCAGTCACTGTGCAGCGCCGCAGGATGTCTGAAAGCACAGTGGCACAATGCACACTCTTCACCACCAGGGGGATGAGGGCTGCCAACTCATTCTTGCCCAGCGAGTGGCTGAGGGCACAAGCCCAGAGCACATCATTAATGGCCGGGTGGGTGTCCTGGTTATAGGCCAGGTTAAGATGGCTCATGGCCAGTGAGGCCAGCTTGAAGGCACGTAGCGGATAGCCACGGAGCTCCATGTAGCGGGCAATGGTGAACAGCTGTGAATGGGTCATACCACCAGCGGCAGCATCAATGGCAATCTGGTAGGCTGCCTCAAAGGCGATGTGGTCTTTCTCACAGAGTGTGAGGGCTGACAGGGCACAGCTCTGTGGATCCTTCATAGCACACTGCAGGGCCAGTGTTCGAGCACAACTAGCCAGTTCCTCCCGCTGTGGGTAATCAAGACTGAGACGCAGGATAGTGGTATGGGATACAGCTGTAGCAGCTACAATACTAGTAGCCTCGGTGGGGGTGAAGAGTGTATACCAGCTCTGCAAGATGCTCACCAGGGCCCGCACACCTGTCAGGGAGAGCCTGAGCTCAGCAGTGGCCATCCAGGTCCCGATGCAGGTCTGCCCAGATTACCATTTGGGGTCTGAACTTGGCCTGCAGAGATGAGTTCTCCCTCCTCCACAGCAGCCTTGAGATGATCTGAGGCAAACCAGGGCAAGGGGAACATCCCAGATGGCCAGACCCTGTTTGGGGTCTCTTCCCACCCCTTTCTTGCCCAGGTCAGAGGGTTAAAGGTCTCTGCAAGGCTCTTAGCCCCTCCCATGGATAGAGCAACTGAGCCTGTGGTTTGTAGGTCCACCTGGGGTTTCTACCTAAAGTGGGGCCTCTGGAGGTAAAACTCTCGTGCTGGTGCTTTGGGCTCTAGAAGATATCCCAAGCCTCCAAGTTGTCTGAAGTTTCTCAAAAGCATGGCAGGGACTGGGACCAAACCACTGGGCCCACTGCCTCCTAAGGGAGCACCTGAGTATTGGGGGCTGAAAATGCATCATTCAGATTTGTCTCTGAGGATTAAAGTACAGCTGAGACAGGCACAGTGGCACATGCCTATAATCCCAGCAGCTTGGGAGGCTGAGGCAGGAGAATTGTGAGTTCAAAGCCAGCCTCAAAAATTTAATGAGGCATTAAGTAACCCAGTGAGACCCTATCTCTAAATAAAATTCAAAATAGGGCTGGGGATGTGGCTCAGTGGTTGAGTGCCCCTGAGTTCAATCCCTGGTACCCAAAATAAATAAATAATTAAGTGTTGCTGACATCAGGACATGGTACAACCAGTGAGGGCAGAGCTTGAACTGACTATATAGAGGCCATTTTTTCCTATCAGCAGCCTCTCCTTTTCTAGGACACAAGGAATGGGTATGTGACAGCTCATTAGCCTGTCCCAAGAGTTGGGCCTAAAAATTTCCCTGGGGGTACTAGAAATTTCCCTGGGGGTAGAGTGAGGTGGGAGACTCACCCACTTCTGTAGCACAGGTCACCAACCATCGTACCATTTCCCTGCGCCTCCAGTTAAGGGTTGATAAGGTCATCCGCATCACCTGGGAACAAAAGAGGCATATCTAGTTGGCTAAGCCTGACKATTATGATCTCTTTCTCCCCACTTCCTTTTGCCATTCATTCATGCAACAAATATTTTTTGGTGCCTTAAACAGTGGTCTTGCGAGCTGCAGTTGTGGCTCAGTGGTAGAGTGCTTGCCTGGCACATGCAAGATCCTGGGTTCAATCCTCAGCACCACATAAAAATAAATAAATAAAATACATTATTGTGTCCAACTACAGCTAAATATAAAAAATGAAAACAAAAGAAACAGTGCTCTTTCCCCTGGTAAGTATGGACAGGTTTAATTTCTGCTTGACAACTCTCTTTTGATAAGAAGCTTCTCTAATAACCCATAACAAAGAAAATTCCTATACTTTGCTTGGCTCAGAAGAATGGAGAGGTGGGGAGAAGGTGGGGATCCCTTATAGCCTAAAGCTATTCTACTTCTGGCCTTAAGGTAAAAATGGAACCCAGTTTACAACCCAATTTGCTTTATGTCTAGCTTGGAATTTGTGTTCTGGGGACAAAGAACCAGACTTGGTCCACATTCAGCCCCTTAGGGATCTTATCTTCTGCCAATTGTCACTATACCAGAAGCCTGGGAACAGATCACTCCTACCCCATACCTGTAATCCTAGCTCCAGGGCTACGTTGAGCAAGGTGCTGTCTGTACCACTGTCCGTGGGAGTAGCAATCTTGAATGCATCTTGGGCCAGTTTAAAGATGAGGGAGGAAGAATGGATGTGCTTCTGTATTGCTTCCAGAATAGTTCGGAGTCTCAGAGTATCCCCTGAAGGTGTTGAGAGAAGGGGCAGTGACAAGGTTTGCCTTAAAGTTTCCCTAGGCAGCCAGTTGATCACAATAAATACTGGTTGAAATATCAATTCGTAGAATGCTCCTGAATGATACCATCCCTTCTGGGTAGTCAAGCTGTCTCCAGTGAACTCACTGGTAGCTCATTCTGTATCTAGGTATCCATATGAATTCACTTCTTTACACCTTTTCCTACTCTTCATCCACTATATCCTTAGGCTTTTTAGAGATAAAAAACAATTTTCTTTCTTTTTTTTTAAATCAATTTTCTTGAACACCTAAATTTTGAGAACCTCTTATACAGGTGGCCAGAAGCCAAATAACTGTCAAAATAATAAAAACAAGTATGCAGTTCATTTGTGTGTGTGTATTTGTGTGTGGTTCTGAGGATTGAACCCAGGTGTGCTTTACCACTGAACAATGTACCCACTCCTATTTATTTTGAGTCCTATTTTATTTTATTAAGTTGCTAATGCTGGCCTTGAACTTGTGATCCTCCTATGTCAGCTTCCTGAGTTGCTGTGATTACAGGCACGCACCACCATGCCCAGCTATGCTGATCCCACTATTTGCTTTTCTTTTCTTTTTTCTTTTAGATTCCATTTTTCTAACAAATAAGATAAATAGCAGTGTGTATGTAGTGTATGTGCATAAATACATATTTTTGGTACCTGGGACTGAACTCAGGGGCACTTAACCACTGAGCCACATCCCAAGCCCATTTTTGTATTTTATTTATAGTCTCACTGAGTTGCTTAGTGCCTTGCTAAGTTGCTGAGGCTGGCTTTGAACTTGAAATTTTTCTGCCTCAGCCTCCTGAGCTGCTGGGATTATAGGTGTGCGCTACTGTGCCTGGCCACTATTTGCTTTTTCTGGAGAAAAGGGGAGCTAGGTGAACACTTCTTATTCTATAGACAAAGATTCTATACAAAGAACTAGTACATGGAGTTAAGGAACTGTATCACCATATGAAACAATGGTTGTTTCATGAAGGCAGTATAAAAAATTAGTGTATCTTATGAAGGGTATATATGTGAACTAAAGACAACAAAACTATGTCTTATGATTTGCTTTGCAGTTGTTGATAAAGTCAAAGAGGCATGCGTTTAGGCTTTGGAGTAAAATACACTGAGGACTGAATCTGGTATAGCCATTAAATAATTCAGTTACTACTTCTATAAAATGAGAACTGTAACCTTCAGGATTGTTTTGGAAATTATAAACAATTTGTGCATAGTTAATAGTCTATGATTCCATTTTTCTAACAAAAAAGATAAATAACAGTGTATATGTAGTGTATGTGCATAAATACAAATAGAAAATCTCCAGAACTATTTATACCAATGTCTTATAATAATTATATTTTTCTTTCTTTCTTTAAATACTGGGGATGGAACCCAGGGACACTCTACTACTGAGCTACATCCCCAGCCCTTTTTATTTTTTGAGATAAGACCTGGCCCAGGCTGGCCTCTAACTTGTGATCCTCCTGCATTGGCCTCCCGAGTAGATGGAATTACAGGCATACACCAGAGCACCTGGCTTGTAATAGTTAATATTTGAGTATCAGGATTATAGAAGAGATTTCCTTTATTCTTCTATTATTTTTTAAAAGTGATTTTAAAATTAATAGACTTTTTAGACCAGTTTTATATTTACAGAAAACTGAGCAGATAGTATAGAATTCCCATACATCCTATTATTAACATCTTACACAGTGTGGTAGATGCGATGAACCAATATTGATTATATTAACTCAAGTCTTTATGTTATGGTCCATTCTGTATCATATTAATTCTATGGTTCAGACAAATGCATAATGTCATGGACCTGCCATTAATTACAGTATCACATAGAAAAGTTTCACTGCCTTCAAAGTTTCCTGTGCTTCACCTTTTTAAACCTTTCCCCTTCTCCCAAACCTCTGGCAATTATAATGTTTCCATAGTTTTATCTTTTCCAGAATGTGCAACTGGAATTGTTCAGCATGTAACCTTTTCAGATTGCAATGCACATTTAAGGTTATTTAAGATTCTTCATGTCTTTCTTCATGGCTTGATAGTTCTCCCCCCCCCTTTAAAATTGGAACACTGCAATTGTAAACAATGACACAATTCTTGTTACATATTTATATGTTCACACACTATAACAATATAATTTGGCCAATACCACTTCCCACCATTTATCTCTCTCCCTCTGGAAAGTTCATTTCTTTTTTTCTTTAAAAAATTTTTTTTAGGTGTTGATGGACCTTATTTTATTCATTTATTTATACTGTGTGTTCAAAATTGAACCCAGTGCCTCCCATAGGCTAGGCAAGCACTCTACCACTGAGCCACAACACCAATCTCAAGTTCATTTCTTTTTATTGCTAAATAATATTCCACTGTATGGATATACCCAATTTGTTTATCAATGCATCTTTTAAAGGACATCTTGACTGCCTCCAATTTTAGGAAAATATAAATAAAGATACTATAAACATGTATAGGTTTTAGTATGGACATAAGTTTTCAACTCATTTGGCTAAATATCTAGAAGTATGACTGCTAGATCATATGGTAACATTATATTTAGTTTTGTAAAAAACTGCCAAACTAGCTTCCAAAATGGTTGTACTATTTTGCATTCTCAACAGGGTTCCTGTTGCTCCACATATTACCAGTATTTAGTGTCATTTGGATTGCAGCATTCTAACAGCGTATGCAGCATTATCTCTCTATTGTTTTAATTAGGAATTCCCTATATAAAAGATTGAACATCATTTCATATGCTTGTTTACGATCTGTGTATTTTCTTTAGGGAAGTGTTTCTTCAGATCTTTAAACAATTTTTAAATTGGGTTATTTTCTCATTGTTGAGTTTTAAGAGTTGATTTGTATATTGGGATACAAGTCCTTTATCAGATATGTTTTTCAAATAATTTTTCAGCCTGCAGCTTGTGCATTTTCATTTTTCTTTACATTAACTTAATTTTATTTGTTCAAGGGCTCATACTGGAAGCATTAAATCAAGCCAGGATTTTGATTCTGTGAGCTCATATCCCATATTAAGGAAGAGCAAACTATGGTCCATATACATAGGATTATGAACTAGAGCCTCAAGGTTAATCATATTGTAATTTTAAAATTTTCTACAGTCCAGAACTCAGAAGTCATAGGGCTTTTAGGTCCTTCTGGGCATTCCACAGGGTATCTGCACTTTCACTGAACTAGGCAAACTTATCAGCTTTTAGTTAATAATGCTGGTTAATCCCCAAGCATTAAGGATACATGGAAGACTATATCATACACCCTCACCACCATTGTTGACACTAGACGAACTGACTCCTTTATCACTATGTGATGGCTCTCATTATTTTGCCCGCTTCCCCCAAGAGACAGCACCTTGCTATGTTGTCCTGGCTAGGCCTCAATTCCTGGGTTCAAGCAGTACTCCCGACTCAGGCCTCCTAAGTACCTGAGAGTACAAGGGTGCACCATTGTGCTTGGCCCATGACTTCATCTTATATAAGATTTGAGCATCCTTGGATTTAGGTGTTCATTTGGGGGTTCCAGAATTTCCCAGATACCAAGGGACGATAGATGAGATCCTTTAGCATCAAGGGCCTATTGATCTGTCCATATCCCCCTATTATCTCCTCACTTTTGGATCTGATCATAGTGAATTTATCACTCATTGTTAAAAGAACATGCCATCTCTCCTTTCAAACTCAGTATTCCTGAGCACTCCAGGGAGGGAAGGTAATGCCTAAGCACTTATATGCACAAGGATTTCACTTTCTTTGCTCAGTTTATTCCCAGGCCTTTTATTCTTTTGTGTTATATGATAAATGTGATTGGAAAAATTTCCCTTTGGTAGCTCACTGTTAGTATACAGAAATTCAACTGATTTTTGTATGTTGATTTTGCATACTATAACCTTGCTGAATATATTGATTAATTATAACAATTTTGTTTTTTAAAAAATGACATCTTTAAGGTTTTCTATATGTAAGATCATATTGTTAGCAAACAATTGACAATTTACCTTTGTCCTTTCTGATTTAGATGACCATTATTTCTTTTTCTTACCTAACTATTTTGTCCAGGATTTCATTGCTATATTGAATAGAAAGAGCAAGAGTAGTACTTTTGCTAAGAATCTTTCACATAGAGCTTTATTACGTGGAGATAATTTCCTTCTATTCCTAGTTTCATGAGAATTCCTGTTCCATGCTGAATTTTAGAAAATGCCTTTTCTGTATCTACTGAGATGAACATGAGATTTTGTATCCTTTATTCTGTTAATCTAGTGTATCATAATTGATTTTTGTATGGTAATAACTATCCATGCATTCTAGGTATAGACCTCAGTTCTTCTGATGCATGATCTTTTTAACATACAGTTGGATTCACTTTATTTTTGAAGAATCATTTACTTGGATACCAAATTCTAGTTGATCATTTCTTCTTTCAATACTTTAAATATTTCGCTCCACTTTCTTCTTGTTTGCATAGTTTGTGAAGTCTGATGTATTTTTCACCCTTATTTCTCTATAGGCAAGGTGGTTTTATTCTATGGTTTCTTTCAAGGGTTTCTCTTTGTCATTGTTTTTCTGTATTTTGAATATGATATACCTAGAATATCTTTATTATTCATTCTGTTTGGTGTCTGTGAGCTTCTTGGATTTAGGTGTCTGTCATAATACTGGAAGACTCAAAGCCAATATTACTTCAAATACTTCTCCTTTCTCTTCCTTTTCATATTTCCACTCCGCATATGTTATACCATTTGTAATTGTCCCACAGTTCTCAGATAGTCTTTTTATTCATTTTTTCTCTCTGCATTTCAATTTGCAAACTTTTTATTGACATTATAATTTTTTTTAAAATTAAATATTCTTGTACTGGGGTTGTGTAGCTCAGTGATAGAGTGCATGCCTTGTATGTGTGGGGCACTGGGTTTGATCCTCAGCACCACATAAAAATAAAAAAT